CTAATACCTTTGGTATAAAAATCAAACGCAACGCTACCCACCATGATAAGATACTGCAAGCATTACCGTGGTGGGATGTGCAGCGAACGATTAGGGGCTTTTAGTGAGGCTGCTGCTTCTGGACAATCTCACACTTCAGGCAGGAAAAGGCAAGCTTTTCGCTGCCCGGAAAAAAAACAACTACAGTACTTGCCTTTTTGATGTAAAGGATTCCATCTCAAAAATAAATGACAGAAGCAAAAACCGGGTTGGAAGATATCCTTGTACGACACGAAAATGAAAATACAATGCAAGGGTAAAATAGAAATCCTTCCGGATATATGCAATATATCTTATTCAGAACCGTGAACCCAGCGACCTCATGCTGTGTTGGCTTAACTGCACACCTGGTACAAAATACCCGAATGGCAATTAAGGTTATGCGGTAATTACACGGCCGTTAGGGCTTTGTTTTGCCTCCACGCTTCCTGAGGGTAACATGCGATGAGACGTCTTCCTTGCCTTCCGGATGATAGCGTAATAGAGTGTGTGTGCGGGAATTTGGAAGCTTCTGGCTCTCTGGTAATGGCACTCGTTTTTGTTCTGAATAAAGAAATAGCAGACATCTTGTCATTTACCAGAGAGGTAGATATCAAAAACTGCGGATCTTAATGCTTGCGTCCATCACCAATGTTTTAGGGTCGTATTGTCACATCGTCAGTCGTTCATACAATAAGAAGGTTCGCCATTTTTTTATTTTTACTCAAATCGAGAGATTTTGTTATTAAAAAGCGATAAAAAAATTGAGCAAAAGTCATTGATATTTACGTCGACTAAAAGCATTTCAAAATCAAGGATCGGCGCGAGGCTGGAAAACGTACCTGTGCGCGAGACTAGACCGCGTGACGTCAGTAGCCAGAAACACCTCGCTAGCTCACCCGCTGCATTTACCATTCTCACAACAACGCCCCAGTAATCGGTTTGGAGTAGTTAGAGCTGGTACGATAGATTATTGTTAAATTCTGTGAACTCTGACTGTGTTAAATGTCGGACAGAAAGTGGAGTTTTGTGCCAAAATGTACAAGTACGTCAAGTACAACACCGCATCAAATTTTTTTGAGTGTTCCAAAAGCTGTAAAAAGTGGTTTGGCGCAGCTCCACGGGATGTAAAATTAGTTTCTTCCACGTCGACCATGTACTGCTGCGAAGATCATTTTGACCTGGAAAAAGATATGGAAAACTATCTACAATACAAGATGAGTACCGTTCGAGCCCGGATGAATCCTAATATTGCACCTCATAAATGTGCATGTCAACTGGGTAGACAATTAAGCTCTACGAAACGAGTGGGACCCTCAACCGAAAAGTCCGAGTTTGAAGGCGTGGAAGTTATTGAACCACCTGAACCTTTAACAGTAGAAGTTCAGTCACAGGTATGTGACAAGGCATGTCAAACCAAACAGGTATATTTTAGAAGCAAGTCAGTTCAAATCTCGCAAAGTACTGGATGCTGCTATATCGCCAATAAGAATTCTTGCGCTTGCTAAACAGATTTTAGAGCGGCCAAAAAAACGTTTGCAAGTGGAAAGTGAACAGGCAAATCTTGCAAGTCCTGCAATAACAGAGCAGTAGTAGCAGTACTGAAAGTAGTGACAGCGAAGCCGACATCGTAGTCATTCTAAGCGCAATATTAGTCAACGTTTAGAACCGGCTTCATTGCCCATCCCCCGAATGTAACCCTAAACTTTGTGATTTTAATAGCTATAAAATTCTATAATGTGACTGCCCCCCCCCTAATTTAAGTATTCCCCAATAGACTCTAAAAAATAAGATTCTCTCTACATCCCTGGAATTTCTCTCATTGAAAACATATTAGGTACCATACTTTACTTTAGAATAGTGTAATAAAGCCTCATTATGCATGCAAAAAGAACCAATTACGGGACTCTTAATAGGCGTAACAAGGTAAAAAGGTATGTATGATAATTTAAATTCCATAATATTTTACATAGGAAGAAAAAAGCAGAGATAAATCGCCTTCAAAATTATTGTCACGAGCAGGCATTATTATGTCTTAAGATTATTAACTTTCAATAGACTAAAACAAAACTTGATCAATTTTTGCGGAGAAATACAAAAAAATACTACCCATTGGAGCTAAACAAAAAAATTAGCTTCATATAGGTACTTACCGAAGTACTTCAACACCGCTGCTCTGAGGTTCATTTAAATTTGCATTATTTGCCAAAAACTCGTACACCATTTCCAGATTCACATGGGGTAAATTTCGCGAATGAGCTTTCTGATAACCTTGGAGCATTGTGCTAGCACAAATAAATAAAGTACACAGACGTCGGTCCCAGTTTATATAAATAGGTATTCGTATACTCTTCACTCCGTATACAAGACAATACAAGATACAAGTAATCTATGAGGGCTACAGCACGTGTCTGGCTACTGACGTCACGCAGTCTAGTCTCGCGTACAGGTACGTTTTCTAGCCTCGCGTCGATCCTTGATTGTAAAATGCTTTCCGTCGACGTAAATATTAATAATTTGCACTCAAATTTCTTTGGCCGTTTTTTAATAAAAAAATCCCTCGATTGTAATTAAAATAAGAGAAATACAAAAAATGTCGAACCTTCCTATTGTAGGAAGCCTTAATGGCATCCTTGATCTTCATAGTTTTCTACTGGTCCATGTCAGCGCTCTATTTTGAGGTTATGTTACAAATATCTATGTGCATCGAATTGTTCATGCTTTCGATTTATATCAGCCTGAAATTTCCTACAATTCAAAAAGAAAACATAACCTCAGTCTACACTTTTTCTCTTATCTTAGCATCTCGGAAAATGTGTAAAAATACTTTTTTCTACCAGTGTGCTGAAAGTGTTACTTTTCCACACGCATCTTAGTTTGGGAAGTGTCATGGCGTGAGAAAAAGTACAAGTGCCACTGATACGCATATTACGAAACTTAAAAAGTGACATTATATCGATTTGACATTATGTACCTTTTTTTAAAAAAAAGTCATGCTTACTTGTAGTAGACGAGGAATGATCTAGCGGCACTCTAGCGGCTACCTAGTGCACAAGTTGACACTTTACCGAGTTCTTTGACATTATATAAGTTTTTTCCGTAACAACCCTGCAGGTTTTAAATTTAATCATTGTTTAAAATCTGTCATTATCAACATAAAATGACACCACAATATGTAATGCATCAGCATACACTCCCAATCTGAAATAACTTGGGTTCAAACAGAGCTATAACGGAAAAGAGATACTGATAATACGGATGCTAGCAACGTTGGGTACACTACCACTTTACCCAGCATTTTGTCGTCCGTCATAAATCTCCAAAATGCCAACAACTGCTCTTTTGTTATTAACATTAATAGTAATAAAAGTTAAGTTTTTTTATAAAAGTATATGATTTCAGATGTTACAAAATATTGTTGCTTTTCTTGTTACGCGCTGGTAGAAAAAATAATATTCCTAACCCTCGTAGAAGGTTGGTTTATTTTCGGTACTCGACTGCTGTATCACATTATCACTTTCCGCACATAGTGCCTACCACTAATGAAGGAGTGATTTAAGTAGCTCCGAATCCATTTAGACAATTTCTAAAAAAGGAAACAAATGGGCATCATACTCAAAATTATATAGTTTCTATTATTGGTAGGAAATCTAAGCAGTCATAGAACAACAAGCTATAACTCTATAATGCTTTGTTGAAAGCAACGAATTCAGACTAGGTAGGAAGATCCAATCAAGGATTTGATTGTCTCCTGAGTCTCATAGTCTGTAGTGAGGAGCAAAGTGGACTTGGCATTAATCAATTTTTTGACAGTTCCGTCATTAAGTTCGAATTTTTAGTGTTATTTTTAACAGATGCGAGTGTTTGCAGAAAACTGCGGTGTTAGCCGATTGCAAGACGTGGTACTTCTTACGGAATTTGCAAAGAGCAGCATAAGCCTTTTGAAGGTAGATGTTTCCACCGGTAAGTAATATTATTGTGTCGATACAGCGCTGTACGTTGGTAGGCAGTGATAGTCAAATGTATGAACTCTAACTACGCAATTTTGACGACAAACAATGCAATGTATACATATAGTCTTGTATTCTTCTAAATGGATGAAACTAATTTGAACATAAGGCATCCAGTTATAGGTCACAGCAAGCAACAGCAATATTGTCGTCCTTCGGTTCAGTACTACGTTCAACGTACTACGTTCCCAGTGATTCAGCATGATATTCCTCTCCCTATGATCAAGAAAGTGATCCACGAGTTCACTGTTAGATAATGTGTTAGCAAACCGATTGTCTTATGTGTCTAGCAGTGAGCTAGTGAATAAGTTAAAGCACCAGTTGCTGGTTGGTGATACTTCAAATGTATTTTTTTACATACAGGCAGATTGCTGCTTTCTCTTAAGAGTCATATAAAAAAATCTCGTAGATTACAGGCAGAACTACAGTTTTTAGGATCGGTCTTCGATTCTCTTAAAACTCAAATATCTGAGCTGACCCAGTGAATCACTATAACACCCATAAAAGTAAGATGGCTATACTCAACTAGTTTCAGAATCTCAATGTCAGTTGCAGGTGTCCTGTAAGCATTTACTGCTCAGTCACCTGTCACTAGTATGTCTTTGTCTGCTAAACGGTTTATCAATTTCTCCGGCTCGGCCGTCGCTCGGTGTCGTAAGAGCTTTTGCAGTTGCCCAAAACAATTAATCATGACGGGTTTGCGGAGAGCGGAGTATCCGAAACCCGTACACAAAACGCGGCATTCGGGTAATATCTGGAATGTTGGCAGCGATTGGAGAATTTGATTGTCTTGTTTGTCGGACGTCGGAGATCCGCGGCCCCAGCTTTCCAGAGGGTTTAATGGTTACTGCGAATTTCTGACTAATGGGCGAAACTCTATGGCTGCTGCTATAATTATGACGGGGCAAGCTTTCCAAATGGATTGAAAGAGCCATGAATTCTTGCTCGGAAAAAGGATAAAATGTTACTTACCTACGTGTGTTATAGGTTCGGTGATCATCTCATGGAGGACGGCGTCGATAAGTGAGCTACCAACAGGATACAGTTCATTTTGTGATATTTGATAGTGAAAATGCTCCAGTAAAGTTGAGTTCTTCCTATAAACAAGAAAAATCAATGAATAGAATAACTTTTTATACAGAGGCTTTATAACACAGACAGACAGGCGGAAATGAGTGATATGGTTTTTCGTCATGTACATGTCACATAACATTCAAAAAACATATCTCATTTTCGCAATTTTTCGCCCAGTGACGTAGGAAGTAGAAGGAAAAAATGTTTCTGGCAGTAGATTAGTGAAAACAGTATATATTGTTACCAAACAATTCAAGAAGACTTCGAAGAAGTATACGCAATATGTTTCTCTCAACATCAACATAATGTAATCACAAATATACAGGGTTTGTCCGGAAAGTAATAGGACTCATTTTCTTCCGCCATGACTGTACTTCGGAGCGTGGGCGCACCGACTGGATTCGGTAGAGGGCGTTCCTAGCTAACGAATGAGCGGCTGGTCAGTTGTCTCCGAGCACTTGGAGAGTCAGGACAGGCATTTTGGCGTGACGTGTTTCTGTGAGTGGTGCAAGCCGAAAATGCAGCGTTCGTTAGAGCAGAGGTACGCGATTAAATTCTGTGTGAAACCCGGTAAATCTGCGACAGAGACGTTTGATATGATCAAGCAGGCTTACCCAGGTGTTGCTTTAGCAAGAAGTGGTGTGTTTCGGTGGCACCAGGCCTTTTTGGAGGGCCGGGAACAGGTCGCTGATGAAGACCGTGCTGGAAGACCTTCGACTTCGACAAACACCGATAATGTGACTCGTGTGCGCAAAGTTTTGAACTCAGACCATCGACTAAGTATTCGTTTAATTGCCCAAATGTTAAATTTACCAAAATCTGTGGTTCATGACATTGTGACACAGCATTTGGACATGCGCAAGGTGTGCGCGAAGATGGTCCAAAAAGTGCTCACTGATGACCAGAAATTGCGGCGAGTGGAAGTGTGCCAAGAAAATTTGAACATGTGTGAAAGTGACCCCCAATTTTTGAATAACGTAATCACAGGTGACGAGTCGTGGATCTTTGAGTATGATCCCGAGACAAAGAGGCAATCTTCCGAATAGCACACGACGGCGTCTCTTCGCCCAAAAAAGGGAAGAATGAGCAAATCCAAAGTGAAAACAATGCTCATTTTCTTTTTGACGACATCAAAGGCATCGTCCACCATGAATTTGTTCCTCCTGGACAAACCGTCAACGCCAAGTTTTACGTGGAAGTGCTCAGGAGACTCAAACGAAGGGTCAGTCGGGTCCGACAAGACATCGCAGCCGACTGGAAGTTGCACCACGAAACGGCCCGGCTCATACCGCCTTTCTTGTGAACAGCTACCTGACCAAGGCCGGCATCCCAACGCTTCCGCAGCCGCCCTACAGCCCAGATGTGCCCCCCCCCCGGACTTTTATTTGTTTCCTCGCCTGAAAAGGCCGATGAAAGGCAAGCATTTTGAGACGACAGAGAGGTTCCAAGCAGCATGCACCGCGGCTCTCAAGGCTATTCTGGAGAACGCCTTTCGTGCCGCCTTTAATGCTTGGAAATCGCTCTGCCAGCGCTGCATAGACGCAGCAGGAGCCTATTTTGAAAGTTTTTAAAGAATTGTAACGATTGACTCAATAAATTTTTTTAAATCGACTCAGTCCTATTACTTTCCGGATAAACCCTGTAGTAGAGGTAAATAAAATGTTAAAGAAGAAGGGTGACTACATAGCCCCTAAGAGTCAAAAATAGTATTTGCATCAAGTCTTTAGAAATATCTACTCGTGCCCCTAGTGAATTTTTATATCGCATTTATTATGTGTTTGATTCTTGATATCCTTAATATTGGACTAGAGAGATGCAATTAGCGCCTGATAAGTCTTCTACTTAGTTAATCCGTGAACTGTACGGCAAATATTCGTCAAAGGCCGGATAAGTGAAATAAGGGAAGATTTGTCAATTGAGATCGACCTGCGGTCTCACGCACTTATTTTTAGATGAGGTTTTTGATGAAAAAATGTATCAAGTAGATTGACTCTGTACTTTCCACGGAACGCAGTAATCAGTTCGTAAAGGATAATGCTCGGCACAGGTTAACCCTTCGGCTGAAAGAAATTCCTGCGGGCGCACATGATTGCTGCTATATGACTAATCCTGCCGTGAATGGTTTCACAGCATACAGCCCACAGCAGCATGGAAGCGACTGCCGACTGCGTCGCACATTAGGGACGTCGCACTTATCGACACGTGACTGTTGGAGATGTTTTTAATTTTTAAGATTAAATGTACGGTGACATCTATAATGAGTTAAATATGTTTAATAGGTGCGTAGAATTACTGGGGTTGGAGGTATATAAATAAAACAACGTTAAAAAATTGAGATATACCGTTCCATACCTGCTGCAACCCCCAATTTTTAAACCCTACAAATTTCTCGCGAAAATAACCAGATGCCTCTGAAACGTCAAAAACGAAGTTTGTTGCAATTTTTTTTCGGTTTGGTCCTTTTTCTCCGCCACCACTGAAATAATTCTTTTTGTCCTCAGCATATCAGTAACCTTGCATGAGAGTTTCATCCAAATCCGAAAGGTACTTTCCAAGACAATCTAAAATGAGCTTAATAGTTTCTCGTGATATACCTGCCATATAACGTCCAAAAAACGTAATATCTCAATTTCGAAATTTTTTCGTTTACAATACTCTCTCGCCAGTAGGCGTGGGAAGTAAAAGGTGAGCTTGAATTATTATTACTACTCGTAATTGAATTTAAAAGTATATGTAGTGAATTCAAAGTATCTAGGGTAAACCAACATTGAAACGCTAATTAAAGAGACAACATAAAATTAATTATCTGAGAGAGAAGATTGGCGACATGACAAAATTATCTATCTGATCTGATCTTTTTACTGATGATCGCCCAATTGGAGCCTTAGTCAGTCAAAAAAATGAAAATACATTTATTAGAATTAAGCTTTTGTCCATTTATATATGGTCCAACTCAATATTTATACGTTGTTCTGTTGTCTTTTTTAAGTTCAATGTAAATTTGTATGTCATCAGCATACGTGGGCGGGCGTCCATAGTGAACTTAAAACGAGATGGAACCTCGTGGAACCCTCTGTCAATTTTCTGACGGCTTGACAGACGCGGATCCAGGGGGGGCAACGGTTCGGTTCTAGAACACCTCTCCCCACGCAAAGCCTCAGACTTGCAGGAAAAATGGGGAAAGGGAAAAACAGACCACATTGTTTTTTGCTTGAAAACTTAAAATAAATGTGCATTCTGTTCTTACACTACCGTTTATTATTTCTCTTCTGAATTACTTTATAAAATAACGACTTGACAATTTTGACCCCGAAAGTAGGCAACCTACACTACTTGCCCCCTCCCTCTCCTGGATTGAATCTGCGCTTGGTTATCAACCATGACGTTCTGTGTACGTCCTTCCAAGTAGGTGAAGATAAATTTACATGTAGCATCAGAAAATCCATAATATTTCAGTTTCACAGCAACGCAACTAAACGCAACCACTTCCTGTGTTACGATACGAACAAACCGCTGAGTGACTACATATTGATATTCCATATAATTTGCTTGCCGGTAGCGTGCCGGGTATCACTCGTTTCGGATCGTCTAAACTCCAAAAAATCGACTACTATGCTAATAATCCTGCAAACAGAAACTTCGACGCGCATAGCCTTGCTGACAGCACTAACGGCGACGTATTAAGGAGTCCCGGTAGAGTTAGGAAGTTGAGAGTTTATAAACAGCCGGCAGCGAAAATACGTGCCCGTTGGAAACAAAGGACCAGACGTTTCTCGGAATTTCGGCGAGCCGCAAATAGTTGACTGAAGGTTTTTGTATGTGATATGCCGGGTATTCATGACGAAGCTGTCTCAATTCGAGAGTGCCTCGGTTAATTAGCCGGATGCAATGGACAGAAGTTGCATTAAACTTGCTCCTATGTACAGCCGGAACACAAAAACAATGTCACAATATATTCCATCTGTGGGCCAGCAGAATCACTCTGGCTAATAATTGTCAGGCGAATGGATTTAACGTGCACGCAAGAAAGTACAGGTTGCAGCACAGAGAGCCCCAGTTTAATCAGAGCTGTCATCGCGCTCGCTTCAGCCAAAGACAGGGTACAGGTACAGGGTTGGGCAGTGTTTTCAAGGCTGTTAGCTGTGGATTCACTTTAAAATTGTATACCTTATCATAGATTCATAGGTAATGGAGTTATCTCTACGCCCAAATATGTTGTTTGCTGGCAAGTGATACGATTTTTTCCGTCCTCATACGTTAGGAACCATCAAGCTGTCAAAAAAATGCGAGATACCTGTTTTGTAGAAAATTTGATTCTCTACTAAAAATGATTGCAGTTCTTATACGCTCAGATTATTAGTAATCGTCAATAATTGCGGAAATATTATTGCATTTACCCTTAAATTTCTCGTAACCTGTTGACTATACGGGATCTTTTTATAGAAGAAAAATGATAAAGAATTTGATTCCCTGCAATATTGTTTCAATTAATTGATTAGGAAGATTCGATGGTTCTCTAGATTTTTGATGGCAACCCCATCATAACATCATAACGCCAATTTGAACTTAAATTACTTATTTCCTGACCTACTAGACCTACCCTAGGACAGCACTAAGGGGACGTTCAATGCAAAACGTCATAAGCAAAGCGACCTTATTTTTCAACATCAGCCGTGTTTTAATTGAGGTTTAGTCAAGTATATGCTTTTGTTTCCATAGCAAAAGCGGTGCAGCTCTAGAGGATTACAGTTACACCTGCTACGTAGAAATAAATATAGCTGGAAGTTTTAAACAGCGCGTCATGGCTACACTCTGTTTTTAAACTACCTACGTCTCGCTAGCAATTATGGGACTTCCACCGAGACTTGTGCAAAATTAAGGTTTCTCATGTACAGCTGAAGGTCAAAGATATGTCGCTTGCAATACACAACTGACCACTCTAGGAATGTCCACATACGTTTCACTTTTATCTCGTCTCCATTCATCCGATAAACTTTCATAAGTCTACCTCTACTGTTAGTGA